GGCACCACGCAGAGGGTGTAGGATCATAGAACAAGGTCGAGAACAATTCCTTGGTGCCCAGGGTTCATCTTTCCTTCTTGGCCCCAAAGCCAAGCCACAGCCAGGCTTTGGTGATAAAAGACCATCTGTGATTTTATTCTCAAAAAATAAAAGCTCTGCCTACTCACTTCCCTCACCTCCTGGGAAGCCCCAGCCCATGGGATAAGCTGTAAACAACGGCCTCTGGTGAAGCTTCTAGAAACACCAAACCTACCACACACGGAGTCCTTCTGCCCGAAGTAGGCAGCATCGAAGAGATGGTCGGCTGTCTTCTCAAAGGAGGCCAGCATCAGCACACTCTCCTTCATCTTGGCCAGGCCAAACCTCGTAATGCCCAAGACTTCACCCTGCACCAGCGGAGGAGGAGACCGGGTGGTACTCACGCCACTTACAAAGGCCCGGTGCAAACCACACCCCCTGCATCCCATCAACAGAACAAGCAGAAATCAGCAAGGTTCAGGTCAGTCTCAGGTGTGAACAGGACCCTAGAGGCCATCTGTCCCACCCCTATCCCATGGGGACGCAGACCCCTGCACTCGTGACCATGTGCCATTGGAAGAATGAACTAGCAACTGAGAGCTAGAATTAAAGACCTAACTTTTAAACAAGAGAGTACTTCCGAAGTTGTTTACTGTGGCTCAAAGAACTTCAATGTCAAATAATTTACGAGTTTCAAAGCAGGGAAAGAGATACGTAAATTTAGGTGCTTTCATTCAAGTGAATACTGCGTCATCATTAAAAAAGCATACTCATAAAAGCTGCATTAACAATGTGGAAGATACTTATAACAAATAAAACAGGATAAAAACGGTATGTCCACTACTCTCTGCAACTACATAACACATTACATGCCTAGAGACTAGCACAGGAAGGGAAGACTTAAAAACGAGAGCCTTTACCACAGGGCGGAAGAAATGGGTCATTTCCCCACCTAGTTCTATGGTGAGGCATCCTGAAAACCTCACGGCACTACTACAGGGAACATGTTTTGTGGGAAAAGAGAAAAACAAAAACAAAAACAAAAACAACAACCTCTTTCACAGCTAGCCTCCCCTTCGATGACGTTGACTTATCGTTTACCCAGAAATGGCTACAGAAGTCTGATGAATGGGTTTGCTGGGAAAGAAACTCCTCAGTTTGCCAAGGAAATGCCTAGGCTTTTGGCAAGGGGCAGTTTTGTCTTAGGAAGACTTTCTAAGAAGGACAGAAATCACGCCCCACCTCATTCCACGAGGTGACAGGTTTCATCCTGGAAGTTCACCAGAACACCTAGCCTGACCGCGCTTTGGCTCTTGGGTGATGGTGACATCTTATTTTTGTTTAGCGGTGTCATCACAGCCGGTCGTGAGCCGGCTCGGCGCACCTCACCCCTCCCACGAACCTTGTAGGTCATCAGGTCGGACAGCAGCATCACGTGCCTCCTGTCGATGCTCATTCCGTGGTTGACCATCGTGTACTGGATTTCGTTGATGATAGTTGTCCGGGCAGCTTCGATGCCCAGAGTCTTCTCCACCTACAAAGAGCCCGGATGAGGGGAAGCAAGTCTCCCTCCGTTCTCCTCTGCCCGGCAGCCTCATGGCAAGCTCCGGGCCCTTGGCCAGAAACAGACTGCGGAGCACCCTTTAGTGGTAGGTCAGGGAGGGGTGCCGGGACAACTGGGGGGTGGCCCCGGGCATGAGCTGTACCTCATAGGTGTTGTTGGAGGTAGTGCGGGTGCCCTTCACACCGTGGGTGGCCATGACTGCCCGCAGGTTGTCACCCTCCACCAGGAGTTTATACTTCTCCTTTCCGCTCTGCTCGTCGATGTGGATGACAGCTCTGGAAACCTCGGGGATGCCCTGCACCACCACCTGCACTTGGAGACACAGAAGGCTCGAGGCCCTGCAGTGCCCACGGCCCCCGGGGCCTGGAACCCTTAGAAAGCACCAGGCTGTGAGAACTGGGAACTGGGTCGTCACGTCGACCACCCGTGTGTCTCAGCGGAGTTTGTCAGGACACACCAAACTGAAAAGTGCCTGTGTGCTGCTAGGGGTTAGGCAGAAAACGGAAGGTCAGGGGACCGTGCCACATGCCCCACCAGTTTCACGAGGGACGAGACTCCAGCAGGCAGTGTCAGTGTGGCAGTGCTAAGGAGGGAAAAACCCGATCCCAGAGGGAAGTGGCAGACAAGACGAAACCAGTACCACCTCCAGTCTGTGCAGTGACACGGTCCAGAGGCAGCCCGACAGCTGGTTGTTCAGGCTACAGGGAGGCGCCGTACCTCCCTTCACAAATCTCTGGCCACTAGGCGGGGTGGGGCCCCCAAGAGGGGACTTGGGCCTCACCTTGGGGAGATCCTCTTTCAGGAACTGCAGCACATAGTACATGGAGCTCTTGCTGTTCTCTCTGGGGGTGACGCACACCACAGCCTCGCCGTGGACGGCCACGTCGCCGGGCTTCACACGGAGCTTGGACATGCAGATGGAATACCGCACCGTCTCCGCGTTCACCTGCAAGGAGGCCGGGCACGGGCCACAACTCCGGGACGTCACTGATGTGTGTGGAGGCTTCGAGGCCAGCGCCTTCTAGCCTTTTCCCATCGCTGCCCCCCAACAAGCCAGCTCATTTGTCCCCCTAATCTTCTTCCTCACCAGGAAACTTTAGAATGAGATGTACTATGTATTTGCTTATGTGCCATATATTTGTAAGTAGAAATTTTTTTTCCACAACCTCCCCTCGGCCCCAAACCAACTTTTAGCCCTCCCGAAAATGGATGCTCAATTCACAGCGATACACACAGGCTCTGAGGTGGTTCTGGGAGTGGAGACTGGAGAGCAGGACCATTTAAAATCGTCAGCAAAGCCTCCGCCTCACCTGACCTCACCACAACGGCTCTGTGCCACATTCGAGGTGGGTGGCCAGAGCGAGGCTACAGAAGCCCCCAGACTGGGGAACTAGCCACTTGATTCTGGAATCACAGTCTACGGGCAACACAAACTTGGTACTTGAACGAATGAGTTGAAACACAATGTACTAAGGCCAGGGTGGATGGTAACTACTTGGGAGGAAGAGGAAGGTGCCAGGAAGCTACTCAGTCTGCAACCTTGCCTCAGCTGGTCTGTGAGAAACACTGATGATCTTTCAACTTTTATGTATTCAGGAACACCAGTAATAGTAAGTTGGAGGAAGCCACCCAGCCAGAATGACTTGCTGCGCCGGCCAGGCGCCCTGCTGAGGGTCCACAGATGGGGGAGACATGGGCAGCTCTACGCTCCCACCAGAGCCTTGTAGACTGTGCTCCAGTGAAAAAGTATCATGGCCTCAAATGTCAACTTACTTCTTGTGTGTCTTTAGATGGGAGTGTGTGTGTCAGGGTTGGATTTAGAAAAGGACAATGAGGGGACCGTCTGGGCGGCTCAGTCGGTGGCGTGTCCGACTCCGGACTTCAGCTCAAGTCATGATCTCACGGTTGTGTGAGATCTAACTCCGAGATGGGAGCCTGCTTGGGATTCTCTCTCACTCTCTCTCGGCTCCTGCCCTGCTCGTGCTCTCTCTCTCAAAATAATAAATTTTAAAAAAAAAGAGAGAGAGAATGGAAAGCTACAATAGACTCTTACAGAGCAGACGCCAAAATGAAGCCTCTGCAATGCTTCTCGTGCCTCACTTAGCTCCTGCCCCAGTTTATAAGCGCCCGTTTTGGGACTAACAGAGGATGACTTCCTGCCCACATTTAATTATGTGACTCACTTCCAGTCTCAGAAGTCTGATCCGTTCCAGGGAGAGCTTGACGAGGATAAAGCAATCGTCCGGAAGAAACACTTCTTCAATATACTCTGAAATCTGTCATGTAAAAGCTCAGAACGTTAGAGGGTCACTTCTCCCTTTCCAAAGAGCACATGCTGCTCGTTGTTGGTGACACAGGCCAGCGTGGCCACACTGACCGGTAAACCCACAACACGTGTTGATGCCTGCTCGCAGCTTTGCTGAACTAGTGCTCTCGTTGCCAAGGAGGACTTCTTACCTCTCCCAGGAGGGTTTTCTCAATTCTGCCTTTCACGAGGCGAGCGTAGTCTGCGTCGTCGTCCTTGTCCAGCTGGGCGGTAATGATGGGAGTGCTGAGAAGGCAGGCGGACAGTTACAGCAGGAGACGGCCCGCTGGGAGACCGCTGCCTTGTGAGACCTAGGCACTACCGCATCCTAACGCTCGACACAACTGCAAATTCCTGGGCATTTCCTGGGAGCCTCACAGACATTCTTAGCCAGACTTACTATTCTGAGACCTCATGATGCGACCCACTCCCTCAGTGGATGGGACGGTTTTCAGGACACTCTTCCTGACCAAGTGAACCGACCTCGTCCTCTCTGGTCCTAGCAGGGTCATTTCGGTTCTGCTCCCGGAGTAAACCGACCCTCTGTGTTCGTGTGTGGCGGCTTCCCATGGCTGTGCCCCACCTGCACCACCGCTGCTCCAGGACACCTCCGACTCTTCCGTCACTTGCTACCAGCTTATGCGCTAAACATGCTGGCTGTGTCCCCTGCACACGCACCCGGGAGAGACCGGAGCAGCCCATGCAGGCTGCAGAGCCCCCTGCCATCCTGCACGCCTCCACTGCCGCTCTGGAACCAAGCGTGGCACTCCTTCGCTGAATGCTCCCTGTCATCGCTTTGTTGGATTCGGGATTCTGTCACAGAATGCACTGTAATATATTTGTTATCTTTTCTAGTCTCAGATGACCTACAAACACTGCCGCGAACTCACTTGGGAGTCACAGAATATGGCCACAGCTCAGGTGACACACTCACTGTCAGGTGTGATCAGGCTGTGAATACTAAGATCTCAAGTTGAAATCTACAGGGACATATTAATAGCTTTTCCAGTCTTTTTTTGTTTGTTTGTTTCTCTTTTTCATGTGACTTGTGTCTTTAAGCAACCACTGCCTCAGTTTTGACTGTATCTAATTTCGACTTACTTTTTTTTCAAGTGGGTCTCTGAAAAACCCAGATCTGATGAACACCAGCCTATCAGCAGAGTTCACTACACTGCCCATCAGAGTACCACATGTGGTAAGAGAGCATGTGACAGGCAGCAGGAGAACAAAGGGACATGGAGGGCGGGTACCTGATAGCCTTGGAAGCGTTGATGATCTCTTTGATCCGGGGCACACCCAGGGTGATGTTCATGGAGGCCACGCCTGCAAAGTGGAAGGTCTTCAGGGTCATCTGGGTGCCTGGCTCACCAATGCTCTGGGCGCAGAGTGCACCCACCGCAGAACCCGGCTCCATCTGTGCCCTGGAAGGGAAGGGTATGGAAGGAAAGTCTGGCAAAACTGCTGGGAGGCGGTTCTGGTTCTCTCCTCCTTCAACAGACAGGAACGCAGGGGTCATCGGGTCAGGAGGGAAAAATCTCCGAGCTAGGCTGTGGTTGCAACGGGTCAGCCGGGGGTGCAGACGGGGGTGAGGAGGGGGTGTGAGTCAGAGGGCTCCTTGTGGTCAGCCTGTGGTGACTGGGCCCAAATGTCGACTGCCCGCAGACGATCCAAGAGCCCGGCTGACAAATGGTGCCGACGGTGGACAGAGAGGCTGGCACCGTGCAAACACGTGGTAGGGGAGGCCACTTGGAAACATCTTTGCGATTATATCCACAGCTCGCAGCATCCGGACTACCTCCCCACTGGAGCCCCTAAGAGACGAGGGGACAGGACCCGCTCAGACGCTGGAACTCAGGAAGTGGTGCTGACGCAAGAGGTCACCCCGGTGGGAGACAGGAAGGACAGGAGGCCCATGCAACTGCCCGGCAGCAAAGAAAACCAGCATGTGTACCTCATGTACTTGTCCCTACAGGTCTCCAGGAACTTTTCGATCTGGGTGGGGGTGATCCGGTCCAACTGGTACAACACCCGGGGCTGGAAGGACAGAAGCCAAGTGCGGGTCAGGCTGGCAGCACACGAGCCCACCAGGGCGCCCGAGCCGGTAGGGGAAGGCTGCTCGTTACCTCTGTTGTGCCATTATCATTGATGCCGTATTTGTCTCTGGTTTTCTTGATCTTCTCAGAAACACCCTTAATGAATTTTTTTATTTCCTGAAAGATTACACAGCAAACATGAGCTGCGTATTTCTCGGGAATCTGGGTGGCAGTTTGTTTTACAAACGTCAGTGACGTGAGGTGCCCACTGGTTTCGTGATGGCTTGTTCCGCCCCCTGCGCTGGCTCCACGAGGCCCTGGGGCAGCAAGTGCGTCCCACGCTGCCGCCTTCCCTTCTCTCCCGTCACCTGCATCCACGCAGCTCAGGATGGCTACAATGGTGCCATACATAAACCTGTAGTCTCTAAACAGACTTATTTTTGAGGCTTTCTGCTAAACTTATGATCAATTTAAGAAATAGCTAACTCTGCTTTGTAGACACTATGTGCATCACAAATACGCAGTTGCAGCTTGCCTCCATTTCAGAGAAAACACGCCCAAATCCCTGCTTCTCTTCCTCTCTCCGACCCTCACCTCTGCATCTCCCCCATGCGGTCTCACTTTCCCTTCCCAACAATTAGGACTCTGTAAGGATTCCTGGAAAGCAAAGCTGGAAACGAAACATCTGTGTATCTGCTGTCCCCTCTGCATTTCAGAATAGCACTCAAGGCCCCGGATGAGGTCTACAAGGAGGAGGGAAGAAGGTGACAAGGACATCATGTGGTGGAGGCACAGGGCAGGGCGACCGGCCACAGGCCTAAGTTTTCTGGCCACCGCTCAAAGGGGAAAACCCATCTGTTCTACGATTTGTGGTGGATCTCTAAAATAAATTCACCCCGCGGTCACTCCTAGAAGCAGGACTGTCCGGCACTCAAGGAGGATGTACAGAGGAGTAATGAGCTTTCAAGAGCTACACCCATCAAAGTCTGGCTCCCAGGCGCTCACATGTCAAGTGTGGACTCTTAGGGCACTTCCCAGGTGAGCCGATGGCCCACGCCAGGCGGTAACAGCCATGCTTCAGAGGCTGCTGTGATACAGGCCGGGGGGCTGCTGATTAGCTACTCTAGTTTGATCCAGGCGCATTTTTGAGAATATGGGAAAGAGTGGATAGATCACACTTCCCTCAGCAGCCCTCTTAGAAATGTGATTTCCCTCACTGACTGTGGACAAATAAAAGTGGCAGTGAGCTTAAATGTCACTCTTGAATGTCAGTGTAGGCACCCAGCTGCTCTGGGTGGCTGGCTGAGGACAGACCCACGCACATGGACAGGCCGAGGGGGCACTGCATATTGAGGTGGGTGCGAGGCTTCAAGAAGTCTTGTTTCTTGATTTTGAGGCAGGCTGAGGGACCCCAAGGACATAACAGTCTGCCTGCCCCAAAATCTACTCCGTCTGTATCACATAGCTGAAAACGTCTAATGTCCCGTCTGAAACAACTATTTTAAAGCAGATATAACCAGAACTCACTTTTGCAAAGACAAAATCCTATGGGCACCCACAGAGAGCGGACACTTACTAGAGCCCAATTCTATCCTAACCTTGCAAAAATTAATCTCTAGCTTCCCACCTATCATTAGACCACCTATCATTTCTGAAAGCAAAAAACCCCTAATACTTAATGTTCTGATGTTCAAATAGCCTTAGCTTCTATCCACACAATCCACGGCCCATGGGCCCTTCTCAGGCAGTAGCTGCCCAGGGATTGAGGCCTCCCTGTGAGGTGGCATGGCATTAACACGAAGAGCCTAGAGTGAAGGGCACTGAGGGGCTCCATGAGGTCATGGGCTTGGCCAAGGCAACAGGCCTGTCCACGAAGTCAGATGCTTTCTCTGAAGACTGCTTTTGGGGCAGCAGTTTCTGCAATGTTGTTTTTGCCCACTGGGGTCTCTGTCTCCTAGGAGCCCAGCTAACCAAGGGGCTACTTGAGATCATCCTCCTCTGGCCACCCCTTTTTCACGAAAGCAGCTTTCTCACGATGGCTGCTCCTGTGCGCCAACCCTCCTCCTCCTCCTCCTCGACCAAGTGTGGAATACAGGAAGGGTACTGTGCCCTTCAACCGTCATTCTACACAGAAAGGACTTTTGCTAATTTGCAAGAACTTAAAAATTTTTAAGAAACTCTTTTTAAAAAGCTCTCCAGGTTTACTTACTAATTGGGAGTCTGGGACCACACTTTTAGATAGTCAGTTCTGCAAACCAGAGCAGGGAACTAGACTGGAGGGCAAGGAGCCACCGCTCCTGGCGTGGCTCTGCTGAATGGCAGGAGTGTGCAAATGCATGAATACGTGCTGTTGCCTCATCTTCCTGCTACATCGCTCAGCGTGAAGCGCCTCTCTCACGCTGGTGATTCCCTCCGTGGCCTACATGTCTAGCTGTGCTTGTGTCCTTCAGGAAGAGCTCTTGAAAGCCTTCTTGGCCCAGATGTTGTCATTCGCTTGCCGGCTGTTAAAGGCTGCCCCACCTGCCGGCACAGCGAAACCGGAGGGAGGGCCAAGGCTGAGCAGACCCAGGGATTTTCACCCGCAAGGAACTGTGCGCGCAGGAGAAAAGGGACACACACCTAAAGCCATCCCTCAGCTGAGGCATCGCAAATGAGGTCTTTCAGCTACCACCTAAATGGACACACTTCTGGTGATTTTGCCGAAAGGAACGACTTTCCTTACACGGAAGTTAGGGCAGATATTCTCAAAGTTAGATTAAAAAAAAAAAAGCTCATTTTGTAGAAATGAAAACTGAAATAAGCTACTAAGAATTCAACTGAACGACCCCATGCATCCTAAAAGAGAACTCACACCATGGCAACTGGCAGGCAATTAATCACACGGTTAAGCGGCAGTTAGGTCTTCACACCGTCCACAGCACAACCGTGGGCACGGGCAGTGGCCTCTAGTGCGGCCAGGGCTCTGTGTCACTCAGCAGCTGCCTTGTGGCCTCAGCTCCGGCACAGGCTGGGGCTGGAGGACATATCAGGGGCTCAGACAAATCGATTCCGGCCAGTCGATTTTGGACCTGAGCTCATTAGACTGAGCCCGCAGAGGGCAGGACATAGTCATCTCTGTGTCCCCGGGATCTGCAGGGCGTGTGACACTTACTGAAGGCTAGGAGTGCTCACTGAATAAGCACATGCTGCTGGGCAAGCCGGCACCCGTTAAACCCTGTCAAAGTCAAGAAAGGAGCCCGAGTGATGAGCAGGGAACCCAACTGTGCCGGAAGTGAGGCAGAAGCTTATCGCCTCTGGGGCTGGCAAACAGCTGCACTGCTGCCAGGTTCACCCCTTATGCTTAGCACTCCCAGCATGCTCGGTGCGTTACCTTGTTGTACTTCTCATAGCCTGTCTCAGTTAAGGTCTTTGAGGATAAACAGAATAGTAAATAAGTGTATATGATATATCATACATAAAAACCAAACCACAATTCTAATTTGTTAAAAAAAAAAAAAAGAGGGGCACCAGGGTGGCTCAGTTGGTTAAGTGCCTGACTTCAGCTCAGGTCATGATCTCACGGTTTGTTTGTTTGAGCCCCGTGTCGGGCTCTGTGCTGACAGCCAGCTCAGAGCCTGGAGCCTGTTTCAGATTCTGTGTCTCCCTCTCTCCCTGACCCTCCCCTGTTCACACTGTCTCGCTCTCTCAGGGGGGAAAAAAATTAAAAAGTAAAAAAAAGAGAAGAACATTTGGGAAAAATGCCAAACAAAGGTACCCAGTTCAACCTTATTCTGGATTTTAACCTTATTAAAATCTGGACGAGCCTCTTTTCTGCAAATCACACCTCAACACATGAAAGAATCAAGAGCTTCCTTAACTAGAACATTCTTTAAGTTTCATGTCACTGTTGTCATTTTTGATATACTGAAAGGGATTCCTGCCAATTTTGTGCTACATTTGAATCACCCATTGGCACACAAAGGCAACCATTTACTGGTTTCTGTATCCCTCTGCTTTTGATCATAACCATGATAATAAACAGGAAGGAGCTGCTTGAGCAGGTCAGTGAAATTCAAAGAACAAAAAACCCATAAACTCAAAAACCCTTAAGAGGTTATCACGGTAACAGCTCCCTGGAAAAAGGAGGCTGTAGGAACTACTGATCCATGCTATGGTAACAGGAAGAGCAATTTAAAACACCACCACAAGGGGCGCCTGGCTGGTTCAGGC